CTGATAGAGTTCGCTTATAACAATAGTTATCAAGCGACAATTGGTATAGCCCTATATGAATCATCGTATGGGAGGCCTTGCAGATCGCCTATATGTTGGGTAGAACCGGATGATAGTTTAATGCTTGGACCAGAGCTTATGGGACAAAAAAAAAACATTGATCAGAGAATAGATTCTAGCCACTCAGAGACGGCAAAAGAGCTATACAGATAAGAGATGAAGACCTTTGGAGTTTCAGATTTGAAGAATTAGTTATGCTAAAAGTATCATCTATGAAAGACGTTCAACGATTCGAAAGGCGGGGAAGCTTGACCTGAGATATATTGGACCGTTCCGGATTTTGGAGCGTATTACAACTGTTTCATATAGACTAGACCTTCCAGCATCGATGTCTAGTGTGCATAAAGTATTTCATGTTTCAATGTTCAAGAAACAATTACATGTTGAAGAGCAGCAGCGAGTGTTGAACGCATCGGAGATTTCGCTTTAGGTTGATTTGACTACGATCGAAATCCCAGTTTGTATACTTGCTAGAGAAGACAAGAAATTTAGAAACAAGATATTTTTTCCCTTGGTGAAAATTCAGTGGAATCGGAAAGGAGTGGAGGAGGTTTCTCGGGAGCGTGAGGAGGATATACATGCGACTACCCACAATTGTTTGATCAAGTAAATTAAAATTTTGTATGACTTGTTTATGTCTTATGGTTACCTGTATGGTGATGTTTATACTTAACACTAAAATGAGGGTATTAACACTTATCTCCTAAGTACTTGGAACATATGGTATATATATGAAGGGTTCCTTGTTTGGATTTTTCGCTCGATGTACTTGTTCCATTTAATTAGGGGTTAAGTGGGGGTATTTACATTTTTTATGGTTAAGTGTAGACATCGAAGATGATTTTCGTGAGCGCGAAGATGTTATGCCGCGCGACTTCCGTTACCTATTGAGGAAGTGTATTGATTTATGTGTGCGATTATTTGTGTGGTTATATTTTGATTTAACACTAGAATGAGGATATTTTCGCTTAATTCTTAATCTTTTGGAATACATGGTATATAAATGGGGGGGGGGTTCCTTGTTTGGATTTTTTCGCCCGACGTACTAGTTCCATTCGATTAAGGATTGAGTGGGAATATAGTTATCCTGGACTGTTAAATATAAATATCCATATATGCTTATCAAGAGTAAATATTCTGATATGTTTATATTTGCGGGTTGAATTTGACCATCTACGTGCTTTTATAGTATTATTATTTGCTTAAGTATGATTTCTGAATTTCGAGGACGAAATTCTTTTAAGGGGGGAAGAATGTAAAACCCCGAAAATTTGAATACTTTATGATAAATAATAATAAATATGTTATACATTTATAAATAATATACTATGATGTTTGAGTATGCTAGGAATTGATTTGAGATCAATTCAATGTATATATGTATATATGTGAGTACAAATACACAAATCATGCACAAAGACCAAGAGTGAGAATCTGGGAATTTTGACCAGTTAAGAGTTTCTATGTTTTTCACACTGATTTATTAAGAATCTGGAAAAGTGTATAATACCAAAGTTGTAGGTATCTCCAAGAGATTTCCAACAAATCTTAAATCACCATATTCTGAGGTCGTATGAGAAAGTTATAGCCAAAATACCGAAGAGAATGTTCCTAGTCAGACTGAATTTCCAGTTTCGGGTTTCGGGTTTCGGGTTTGCTGCTATATATATACATGTTATATCACGAAAATCACATATTTTCTTCTATTTTACAAACCCTAGCAGCCCCCCTCTTCTCTCTCAAACCCTAGATCCGTTCTTGGTGATTTTTGAGGAGTCTCGAAGGGTTTCAGCGGGATTTGGAGCGATTCTATCGAAGGAGGAGCATGCTCACGCGTGTTCAGGAGTTCTACAATACCCCCTCAGGTGAGTAACATCTCACCCAGTCCTCTACTATGTTCTTAAAAGTTTTCTAATCAGTTTTAATGGGATTTGTTGAGCCTAAAACGTATATGTGAGTATAAAAATATGTTCTTTATAGCATATGATGCGAAAATCTTGTGTTTCAGTTTATAAAAAGTCCACCAATGTTTTCGGGTAATAAAGTTCACCAATGTTTTCATCGTATATGGTTATATGATTATTAGAAACATTAGTATTTTAATATCAAATAAAAATTTTCATGTTTACAGGTTTGAAGCTGACAGAAACCCAGACTGGGCTTCTGTCTGCCTCGCGGTCGACCGCGACGGTCGACCGCTGGGCGTGCAGAAGGGCAGAATTCGTCTGCCCTCTGCGCGGTCGACCACGGCGGTCGACCGCGATACCTTGGCAGTCGACCGCGATGTGCGGCGGTCGACCGTGAGGGTTTCTGCTGCACAGTGAGTTTCGGCTCTGAGTGCGGTCGACCGGGGCGGTCGACCGCCGCACAGTTTTAAGCACAGAACTGTTCTGTAAAATTTTTCTTCTTGTTCGAGTGTTTGCCTCGATCATCTGGCATTTGTTTTTAGTCTTACTAAGTATCTATGCATGATAGATTACCCGAGGGCACCAATTTAGAATCATACACCGAGATGCGTATGAAATTCGTGTAAGTATATCTTTTCACATATCCCATCGATATTTACTATTTGGTCCATGTGTTGGGCAAACTATATTATTTCAGTCCTCGTGTTGGACTATAATCCATTTCAGTCCTCATGTTGGACATTTACCTATTAGACCATGTGTTGGACATTTGTTAAGCTATGAGTATGACACTTATCTAAATCAGGACATGACATGATTACATGAGATTTGGACATGATAGCTACCTAGGCTGCACATGACACTTATGTAATTTTGACCTTTGACACTTACTGGGTTATGACATGACACAGTATTTAAGTTCTGAGATGGGTTGTATTTCTCTTTATTATTGTTCCTGTATTACAGTATTTAAGTTCTGAGATGGGTTGTATTTCTCTTTATTATTGTTCCTGTATTAAATTTTGGGTTTGCTGTTTAGGGATTTACAATTTGAGATACAAGGTATATACATGAGGGTTTCCTTGTTTGGATTATTTCGCTAAGGTATATACATGAGGGTTTCCTTGTTTGGATTATTTCGCTCGACGTACCTATGCTCGTATTGTAAATCTCTAAATACTAAAATCCTCTTTTGTTAGGATCTATGATTTTAGAATATTATGTATTCACTGTATTTTTCTTATACAACGAGCCCTATTCCCTTGGGGTTGGTTGTGATGTTACTCGCTAGCGTTTTGACGCTCGTTGTCCCCCCCATTTCAGGTAACGAGCCAGGAGCCTGGAGAGTCGCAGGTTGATGGCGACACCATTTAGTGTTCAGCTGTCTATTTTTAGTTATGCTTTATGTTGGAGCTCCACTATAGATTTTGTTAGTCATGTGAGGACTATATTCTAGATGTTGTAAAGGTGGTGTGCCTTATTCCCTTTTCTCAGACCTTTTGTATTTGAATCTTGTTGAGAACTCCAGTTTATCTATTCAGACATCGACTATATGTATTTCTATTTGTGGGATGATGAGATATTTATGTGGTCACTATCATTTTCCTCAGTTATTTCTTGTATTATCTTTTACTTGCTTTTGTACCTACACCTGTTGTTGACTCTACTAGATAGATGTTAATTGTGATGGTAAAACATGTTATTGCACGGTGTGGTGCAAGGCAGGTTTGACATCATTGGTTTCACCTTGGACTGCAGCCTTGTGTGAAACCAGGGGCGTCACAATATCATACTATTATATTAATTAATAATATTAAATATAGTTATAATTAATTAGTGATTATAATATAATATATTATATTTTAGTATAAAATAAAATAATGTGTTATATTATAATAACATACCAAATAATACTAAATCAATTAGATAAATTAATTTAGACTTAATTGATATATAAATATTGTAGTTTAACAAGATAGCACATCATCAAATATCCCACATATATTATCAAATCAAAGCTTTATATTGTCCCATTATTCTAAATTTTCTCATTTTACACCACTCAAAATATCCCAAAGGGATAAAATTTCTCCATTAGAATAATTATCCCACTTAGTCTCAACTTGTTCCAACCAATAACCCTCCTAAGGGCCCGTTTGGATGGACGTAACTATTAGAAGTAAGAAATGAATCAAAGATGTAATTTCCTCAATTATGAAGTAGAAAGTAGCGGAAGTAGTACTTATTTTATTTGTTTCATATATTTTTAGAAGTAGCCTCAATTATGAAGTAGAAAGTAGCGGAAGTAGTACTTATTTTATTTGTTTCATATATTTTTAGAAGTAGCGGAAATAGTACTTCATCATATAGCGGAAGTAGTACTTATTTTATTTGTTTCATATATTTTTAGAAGTAGCGGAAATAGTACTTCATCATATTCTTTTATTTATTTGTTTGTTTTGATAGAAATTGGATATATTATTTAAGATCATCCGCCCTTGGTAAATCTCTAATTTAAGTGGACCCCACTTTTCATCCACTTCCTCTCTACTTCTGAGCTTTCAAGTGCGGGAAAAAATCTAGGAAGTAGGAGTGTCACTTAGACGCTACATCTGTATTTATAGAAGTAGCTGAAGTAGTCTTTTCGGTGAAATAAATATAATTTTTTGCTTGAAGTAGGAGGAACTTCTTCTACTTCAGTTACTTCTTTGCTAATTTCGTGCAAACAAACAGACCCTTAGAGAAATTGGGCAAGTCCTAGTTTAGTTTTTTTCCAAACAGTATTTTCCCAAGTTTAAAATCCTAACCTCATTTTGAGTTGTTACCAAACACATCCTTAATATTGATGCATCTAAAAACCAGTTTACGAGGGCTTATATGAAAAACCATATCAGGCCCTGGGAATCATGAAACCTGCTACTTCAGGTAAAAGTCAGTACAGGTATCCTAAAAAAAGAGTGTTAATATCAGTCTGAAGATTTGATCAAATCTAAATGCAACTTGACGTCCGCAGAGACCCAAAAACACTTTCAATTCTCCAAAGAGGAATAAAAAAATAAAATAAAAAAATAATAAAAGGAAACTCCCAGTTGCAGAGAAGAAAAGATCACGTCTTTACGACTAAAAAAGAAATAAAACCTTGACCCTAACCCTAGGAAAACAAAAGAAAATTAAAAAAGGTACAAGAGCCTTGAAGAAGAAGAAGCAGGAGCTTTCTGACTGTAGAATTCTTCTGTTGCAACTCCAATCGTGTAAGTTGCTTGATCCTTCTATATTTGATCTGGGTTTTTCTCTGGTCTGAAAATTTTGAAGAAATTGGGTTTGTTTGAGCTCGAGATCATTGGATTCGGCGAAAGATTGGATTTTAGCTCATTGGAGCTTGAAAAGATCTGATCCCCCCCCTCCCCTCCCCTCCTCCCCCGGCCCATTCATTCTCTGCCCTTTCTGTTATTTTTAGGTCATCTTATTTTAGTATGGGATATAGGATTCTTCTTGAAAAGGTAAAGTGGGTTTGAGTTATTGTCTTTGCCCTTTGAGATCCAAATCCAGTTACTTTGTTTTTAAATTGTGTTGGAATCTGTAAGATGTTAATAGCCATTGTTCCTTCTATTTCTCAATGTATATTCGAACTTAAGGGTTCATTTTGTTGTATATATTAGAGCCAATTGCTTCATCCTATAGTGAGAAGATGGTACCTTCAGGGCCTCCGACGCCGGTCGGCGGGGCCCAGTCGGTCTCTTCTTCACTTCTCCAGTCTAACTCCGTGTTGTTGGGCGGCGGAGCCCAATCGAACCCGATTCCCTCTCAACAACCCTTCTCTTCTTTAGTCTCCCCAAGAACCCAATTCAATAATAACAACAGTAACAATAGCATGAATATGCTAGGAAACATCTCCAATGTCTCCTCCCTTATTAACAACTCCATGGGCAATGGAGTGAACCTCCAACATTTGGGTTCATCAGAGACCGACCCGCTTTCATTTGCGTCGTCTGGTGCTGGTCCATCAATAAATCAGCTGCCTGGGGATTCTTCACAGCCTCAGAAGATGGAGAGTATGCAGAATTTTCAGCAGCGGTTCTCAGTTCCTCAGCAGCAGCAACAACTTAGAGGGGGGTTAGGAAATTTGGGCAGCTTGCCCCCTGTTAAATTGGAGGCCCAAATGGGCCCTTTGGATCAGAATGTTCCGAGCTCACAGCAGCTTCATAATCTTCGTAGCATTGGTGGAGTTAAAGTGGAGCCACAACAGTTGCAGTCAATGAGAAGTTTGGGACCTGTAAAATTGGAGCAGTCGCATTCAGATTCTTCAATATTTTTACAGCATCATCATCATCATCATCATCATCAGCAACAACAATTGTTGCAGATGTCGAGGCAATCTCCACAGGCTGCTGCACATTTGAATCTCTTGCAGCAGCAAAGAATCATGCAGTTGCAGCATCAACAGCAGCAGCAGCTCCTTAAGGGCCTCCCGCCGCGAGCACAATTATCGCAGCAGATTCAGCAGAATCATCCTTTGAGAACTCAATTGAAGACAGGTAACTGTGAGCCTGGAATTTGTGCGCGGCGGTTAACCCAATATATGTATCATCAACAACATAGACCGGAGGTGAGCTTTGTTCGTCACCGGTGCTTTACTTGTTCTTTCTTTTCCATTCTATTTCTGATGCAATCCATTGGATGCAGGATAATAATATTGAGTTTTGGAGAAAATTTGTATCAGAGTTCTTTGCTCCTAATGCTAAGAAGAGGTGGTGTGTTTCACTCTATGGAAGTGGACGTCAAACTACTGGTGTTTTTCCTCAGGTAATTAGCATCTTCTGCATTATATGTCAGTCATCTGTCATATGGCTATGTGAAATATGGATTCAGGCGATTAGATTTAAAAGCATTACACCTCAAGTATCGATACTCTTATTGTTGTGTACGGAATGTCTTTCTGTTTACATGTCTCCATATTGTATTTTCTCAGAAATGGAACTTTATAATTGTGCAATGACTGTCCCGCTTGTTTTTCAGGATGTATGGCACTGTGAAATATGCAACCGCAAGCCTGGACGTGGTTTTGGTACGCACAATTCTGATAAATTTGTTTGTCTTATTCTACGTGTTAGTTTAATATCTGAATAATCGTTTCTTATGATGCCTTAAAGTGTTCCTTTTATGATTTATATCTTGCCTCAAAAAATGTTGTGCTTTAGTTATTTTTTTCCTTCTTCAAATGTAATCTTTTCAGAAACAACTGCTGAGGTTCTGCCAAGGCTATGTCAAATTAAATACGCTAGTGGTACTTTGGAGGAACTACTTTATGTAGATATGCCTCGTGAATCTCACAACACCATGGGGCAGATTGTCCTTGATTATCCTAAAGCAATTCAGGAGAGTGTTTTTGAGCAAATGCGCGTTGTACGTGATGGTCATCTACGTATTGTTTTCAATCCGGATCTAAAGGTATACATTTACGTATTAGTAAATATGATACTTTATGGTTACTAAGATATACAACACACTTTCTCCCATCAAAAAGAGGGACATAGATAACCTAGTTCATGTTTTCTTTTGATTTTTCAGCTAGATCTATAACCTTGTTCATGTTTTGGATTTTCTCCAGATTGCTTCATGGGAGTTTTGTGCTAGAAAACATGAAGAGCTTATTCCTCGGAAGTTAATAGTACCTCAGGTACCAACTCATTGTTTTTCTATTAATAATTAGTTTGGTGAGTTATTTTATCTAATTTTTATCTTGTGATTGTACTACCTTAAAGTTTATATATAATTGACGTTATACACTTTTCAGGTGAGTCAATTGGGGGCTGTGGTTCAGAAATATCAGAATGCTGTTCAAAATGCATCTTTTGGCTTATCTAGTCAGGAATTGCAAAATAGTTGTAATTGGTAAGTCATCTGCCAAACTGAATTTTTGATAGGTTTGTTTTTTGTAAATTGAATCAATATTCAAACAATGCATGCCATGGTTCTAAAACGCGGTTTCATTGTGCATCCGTGCAATATTGGATAGCAATTAATCGGATATGTAGTGATTAATCTGATTATGCAGATTTGTGCGT